AGGTTGCAGTGAGCCAAGACTGCACCACTGCACTCCAGCCTGGGCAACAAGAGCAAAACTCCATCTCAAAACAAAAAAGAGGTCCAAACTGGCAAATTTAAAGAGACCCCATCTCTACAAAAAATTAGCCATGTGTGCTGGCATGTGGTCCCAGCTACCTGGAGTCCTACTAACTTGGGAGGCTGAGCAGGAGGATCACCTGAGCCTGGGAGGTCGAATGCAGTGGACTATGATCGCACCACTGATCTCCAGCCTGGGCAACAGAGCAAGCCCTGTCTTTAAAAAAAAAAATGAGGTGAATCTGATTAAGTCGAAAGAAAAGAAAAACCAAAGGCCTCCTCATAAATGAACACAACTACACTATTCAGTAATGATAAAATTAGTTGTCCTAACGAAAATGAAGACTTAATATAAAAACTAATAAATATCAGAAAGTATGGGGGTATTTCCTAATGATAAAGACCAAAAGGCAAAGTTTAAAATATGATCATTTATGATCCATGATACCATTTGATTTATCAATTATATGAGTATATAAACATCTGTATGGTTGAACAGTACTATACCGGACCCTGGGAATACAATAAAAAAAACACAATGCTTGTCTTCAAAAACTTTGCAGTCTACATGGAAGAAAAAGGAAAACAACAGGCAACTTAATATAGAATGAAATTAAGATAGTTTGAGTAAGTGTTCTGCACAATACCTCATTTAGGCATAGAGTTGGAGGGAAGAGAGGAGTAAAGGAAATCTTTCCAGAAGAGATTGCAATTTATCTAGGAGCCAACTGATTCATTTTTTCCATAAATATTCACTAAGCAATACTGTGCGAGGTACTAGAAATACTTTAATGGGCAAAGTAGGAATAGCTGTTATCTTCATAGAGTCGAGAAAACAAAGAAGGATACTAACAATAAACAAGTAAACCAATTAGGATATTTATACTTACAATTTGTGGTAAATTCTCTAACGGGTGCTAAAGACAAAAAGATATCAACTATAGATATGATCCTGGGAGAATGAGATAATTAAGTGAAGCTCTGAACGATAAGCAGCAGCTAACAAAAGTCACCAAGTTTGAAAGAGGGGCAGTTTAGGAAAAGAAAAAGCATGTACCAAGACACAGAAATATAATGGCATATTTGGGTATCTTTAAATAGTTCAGCATGGCTTGAGAGTATGTGAGAGTAAGAGAGGCCTAATGGTGAAGGACACCACTGTGCCATGTATACAGCTGGTTTGCCTTTTTGGGGGGCAATGGGAGAGAAGTGTTTTAATAATCTTCTCATACTGAAAATATTCATCTATAAAATCATTATAACTATAAAAAAGCATTAATGTCATATATTCAGAAAAAATAAATTCAAAATGGAGAAGAAATGGGATTAGAGAAAAGAAAGTATAGAAAAGCAAAACACAAAGAAACATTTGACTACAGTACAGATTCAGGAAAAAATTTCAAACACAAAACTGACAGAATCACAAGAAAAGAACTATCTCATTCTTATTGTAAATTATTATAATTTTAAAATTAATAACTCAGAGGTAGAGAAAGAAACACAAATCAAAAATAACCAAACCTTATATCATTACCTTCACGTAAAGAAAATATTTCCCAAAACAGCAACAATCTACATATTTTGTTGAAAATTTTTTTAAAGAATTAGACTAAAATAGTATTTTAAATTAACTTTTGCTGCTAATAAATTACTCAGACATGATGCCAGTCCAGACTACATGGTGCTTCTAGTTTTTCTATATACTGTATGCATTTCTGATAAATGGGAAAAGAATAGATGACCTGGCAGAAGGCTCAGACAATAATATGTGATTTACAGGACATGAATGCAGCTACCACAAGATTTATCTGACAGCCCTCTCCGATAGTGGACTGTTGAGTATCCGATGGAATGATTTCTAGTCTAGAAAGTCTACTACTGAGTAGCCATACACATTATTTATTTATTAGATGTTTTGGGTTGAAACCATTTTTAAATGATGCACTTCACAATGCACAGTCATAAATTTAGCTTTAAACCCAAGAAGGGAGGTAGTGTTATTGGAATGCATGTCAGACTGAATTAGGACGAGCAATGCAACGCTTTTATAAAGTGGCCTTGAATGCAACGTCAATTCTTTCAAAAATGATATTAATGTCAAATGAACAAGATATAAACACTTTATACAATGCTGGAGTAATGTTACTTGAAACATCTATTTAACATTTTCTTTAAATTCATATATATTCAAAACAGGTTTACACACATATACAACAAATTTGGCACACAAATAAGTTGCATGCTTGCAAAAAACCACATGAAACACGGTTAAGAACCTGTTCAATTTTTGTGTGTTTGTATCAGAGAACACACAGTTTCCCAAAGAATAGAAGCAAGTCTTCTTTTAAGAAATAAAGAGGACTTAAATTGGTCTTTGGACATTCAATCGTTCTTGAATTATTTTACATGGGATTCAACAGGTGAATAAATCTAATTTTGCAAACCTCATTTATTAATTATACTCAAAAATATAATGCTGTGTATTATGAGAGATTTCCAATTCTAAGTAATAATATTTTGCCTAAACAATATTAACATTTAAATAGACTAAAATATGAAATGGTGGCTAATCAACTACTGATCAATGAGTAGACAGTGAAAACTACAATCTTAGTTGAAACAAATATATATAGTGATCTGTTTGGTCTTATTATCAGCTAACCAAATGTGATCATTTCCTCATTTCTTAAATTTAGGCTCTAAATTATTTTACAATAAAATATAATTAAACACCTTATTTAAAATAACACAAAAAGAATAAATGGACTCAAGAAAAATAATCAGATCATGGCTGATTGTCATGAAATTAACAACAACTAATTTGTAAAGTTCTAAATCAAATTTGCAGATGTTAAGTTCATAAGCATATCCCATTATTTATGTGATTAAAAAGTAGTTTTTGACCTGATCTTTCGATCTTTGGCACTCAATCCTCTCCATCTCCTCTTAAAAAATTAATTACAATTTTAGCAAGATGTAGTTTTTGCTTCCCACCATATCTCAGTCCAAAAAAAATTATCAATCAAACTCAAGCTATCCCCACCCAAGATCTGTAAAACGTCGACTTGAAATTCAATTTCATATCTTTTAAGCTTTCATGTAGAAAAAGACAGTTCACTTCTTAACAAAATAAATCACTTTTGTGATTGCCAAGTTGACCTCTTTGAATTAGGAAAATTCAAAGTGAAAAATGTAATTATCACCCCGGAACAATCTGTATACATCTGGAGCTAATTCTAGCTTCATTTTTCACATCATTTTTCACACTGTGCTACATCTTGTAGAGATGCTGTGGAACTTTTGAAGAACTCATAAAAAATGTTAAGGACTTCAAATACCCAATAATGTATTTTATTCAAACAAAAACCTTGACAATTACTGGCTTTTGAAACTTACTCAACTACATGATCTTCATATCCCATTTGATTGCAGTAATATTAAACAGTACTGTGACATACATGATAAATAGGTATATTAAAACATGTCATTCTTTATCTTTGCAGCTTCTAACATTCAAATATGCAATAGACTATACTGGAAATACCTTCCATGTACCAAAAATACATTCAATTCTTCAAAACTAGAAAGTGAAACTTCATTGTCAAAATTCACCTATAAAACAGTTATATCACTATGAGCAATAAATTTATATTCTTGTGAGGAAACATCCAAAACCGTGAGTGCTTTTTTAAAGTAAGGGCGATTTCATGCAGGTATAAGAATCCTATATAGCAACTTCTATCCAAGAAAAAAATAATTATTTCTAATGAGATGGCTTAATGAGAAATTTATCCAGTCAGCTTTTGAAGAAATGGAGTTTTCTAAATGAGATGATTAAATTATAGAAACATGATTCTCACTAAATCTAAGAATAATAAGCCTACTAAGTAACTACTCCTCACAAGTTCATTACAAAAATCCATTAGGTGTAATCTCTAGAAGTAATTGTTCTCATTGCACCTTATTGACAATGCATAGTATTGATTTTTCACACCTTCTATGATTCTTTAATTTGTATTCATGAAATGTCCATCAGCACAGTCTAAATAAATTTGGCATATACGCGCTAAAACAAATAAATCGATGCAAAGAAACATTAATTTTGCATTATCCTTATTCGTTAGGCAAGTAAACCATGAGAGTTGTAAATGAAGGTCAGAGGTTTTGAAATGGGTCAAAACCCTTGACCTCTAGACCAATACCTTTCCTATTAAAAAAGGCTATTTTAAAGTTTTAAGTGGGGGAATTTACTACCAGCAAGATATCACTTTAAAAGACTACAAAGAAAACTCTCAATAAAAACATTCATCTGTTTAATTGCAAAACAGAAAAGAAAGCCTCACAGAATACATGATTTTTATATGGTTTTTTTTTTTTAATCATTAAAGTTTACCACATGACGCACAAGATTTTGGAACATCTAAGGTAATTTTGCTCTTATGAATTTATTTTTTGCATCTTATGATACCTGCCATATTTTTGTTAATGTTTTCCCAAATCTACTGTGTATGTCAAAAATAATTAGCAATGACAAGGATTCAAAATCATTTATCGCTCATTTTATAACCTCTGCACAAAAGGGAAGTAAACTTATGATTCCCAGTGGAGTCATCATGGCCCTCCACAAGATATAGAAATAAATCTGTTTATATAACCTTAATATATACAGTAAAGAAATTATCAAGATCATTGTATCTGCATATTTTTAAAGAGACTCTGAAAACTTTTGTTTCTTACTTCCTCCCATGCTTACTTCAAAATTATCTGCAAGTATCAAAAATAAGAAGTAACCCTTTTGCAATACAAATAAAATTATTTTAAAACAGCAAACTCAAAATTTTACTATGGCAAAAATTTCAGTAATGCAAATATAACATCCCCCATGAAAACAAATTCATGTGAAAATCTACTTTTAATTCAACATTTATTCTTGTCACTTACCTGAGAACACAGTAGCATAACCAATTCCACAACTGAACTACTAGACTTCATGCAAACCAGACCTATTTTAAAGAGAATTTTTAAAAATTATAAAGAAAACAAATTAGGATTTGTTACAATTTCATCCAAATTGTTTTTTCAAATTGGTTTATCAAACTATTAATAGTGTACATTTGCTCATAGGATTAAATAAGGTACATTATAGTTAGTTTAAAGGTGGCATCAAAACTACCACCATTTTTTGTAACGTATTCCATTTCTGCTTTCAAAATACTAAAACATTTATTACAACTTCATATATAATGACATTTCACAATACTCATAGAAATGTGCACAACATATGCCATATTGATCAATATCATCTACATTTTGTTTTGGAGAGAGTTGATCGTTATACATGCAGAGAAGGGAAATGGCTCCCTGACCTTTGCTTTCTCCACCACACTCTCTCCCTTCAACCCTCCAGCTATCAATCAAGTTTCCATTTTGTTTCATGGCAGCAGACATCCCAAACACTCTTATTAGTACCTTGACCTCTGACCTCACACTAAACCTTAACAGAAATGCAAGCCGTTGTCTGTTATATATTCTTGATTTCTTATAAATTAATTCATTTACTTTTATGTTTCATTTTGGTTCAGCAAAAATATCCTTAGGAAGGATATTTTTTATAATTAATACCTATCTAAAGAAGTCTTTAGCTTTAATTACCAATAAAATATAAAGTAGTTCATTCAAAGAATGTTTTATACTCAGTATCTTAAAAAAGCAATGCCAATAATTAAAGGGACTAAATTATTAAATTGCATTACTAATAATCAGAAAAATTACAATTTTTTTATTCTACATTTTTCTAGGCAAACATGGGCTTAGGTTCCAGGGTGTAACATCTAAAATAACTCCTGATAGCCCTTAAAATACTCTATTACCATCTCTTTCTCACCCCATGAAAACTCTTGCAGGTATCCTATCCACTCCCTTTCTTTTATCTTTTTATGCTTTTGTTCTTTCTCCTTCCCTGTTTAAATACTAATGCTTCCAACCTAATGATAGCACATGTTGGCATTTTTTAGCTTTATAAATAGCATTCAAATTAAAAGGGCTGTTTACCGCCTTTACTTTTTAAAAAATGTTATAACCATCTTTCTCAATGCCTGAAAAAATACTAACATAGAAATGATGGTAAGAGTGTCAGCACTGGCCAGAAAATTAGCTATAGAATGTCTCTATGTTATATTAGGAAACAAGTTATTAACTACAGTATGATTTTTCTGGGGCTAAGATGAACATGGCTCCTCAGGCTAATGCAAGGCCAAAAGAAAAGGTAAACAACACTCCCTCTCTTACTGCAGGAGTAGCCCCCTACTGGTCTGAAACCTTGCCATTTTTTCTTAAATTTAACCCAGATAATATAAGGAGTTCAGTTTTGCTCCAACTTCAAAACCCATTATTTCCAGAAAGTAAATTAAGATCTTTCTATTATCAGGTCATCAATCCTTATTGCTTTATTCTAGAGAAACTAGAATTCCAGCCATTGGGCCCTCATGGACCTTTTTAATATATATTTATTCAGATAATAAAAAAAGTGATTAAAGAAGAAAAAAAAGAAAAAAAAAAAACAAAAAAAAAAACCTTGGGCTATCCCAAATCAGGGAGATTTACAGGTACTCCTTTGACCCTCTCACCGCACCTATCATAGGATATTTCATACCTATATTTCTTTTTTATTTTATTTTTATTTCATTTTTTTGAAATGTTGTCTTGCTCTGTCACACAGGCTGTAGTGCAATGGTGTGATCAGCTCACTACAACCTTTGCCTCCTGAGTTCAAGCAATTCTCCTGCCTCAGCCACCGGAGTAGCTGGAATTACAGGCGCCCACTAACCATGCCTGGCTAATTTCTATAGTTATAGTAAAGACGAGGTTTCACCATGTTGGTCAAGCAGGTTTCAAACTCCTGACCTCAGGTGATCTGCCCACCTCGGCCTTCCAAAGTGCTAGGATTACAGGTGTGAGCCACCACACTTGGCCCATATACCTCTATTCTTAAGAAAACCTTTACATATATATATTTCTATTTATTTATTTCAGTCTTATTTTTCAATAATAAAGGTTAGCAAACCAGAAGAAGGTTCATACTACTTTAGCTACTTTCTAGTTAGTTATGAATATTCAGGAAAAAATATGTTCACTGAGAAAGCTAGTAAAAGGTCAAATAACATTTTGCAGTTTGGTTTGAACAATTATGTGGAAGAGAGTGACGGTAGATTTGTTGCAGGGGCAGGGTGGAGAGTATGTTCAATTTTGAATGAGTAAGGGCTTCAGAAGACAAGAGAGACCTGATATTAGATCTCCAAGCTCCCTATCTAAAGGACATTGGTACTGTAAACACAAAAACAACACTGGGAGTAAATAAACAGGAGATAAGCCTAATGAGGAACTTAACATCAAATTGTTGAACTTATGTCATTTCTATTTTTGACCAAAATTTTTGCCAATAGATGACACTCATCCCATGTGCAAAAAACAAATAATACATCTGTAGACCTCTCTTCAGATTTAGTCATACTTTAAGAACTATTCAAAGGAAGGCCCTGAAACCTTAAGGTCAAGTTGTAAGTTGCTGCCAGAAATATCATTTTCATTTTATATACCCACAAACACATACCCTATTATTATCTCACTTGCAAGCTTATAGATTTGAACTGGCTCACAATCTGACCTCTCTAAAACTCTCAGTAGAATAGTAGAATAATATGGTTTGGCTTGATTATTTTTTAGATGGCTTTTCAAAGATAGAAAATGTTAGTCTTTTCAAAAGCACAAACTTGGGATGCCAAGCCAAGAGTTTTATATCTGCACTAGTCTGGAATTTTATGATCAAAGACCACTGCAATTTCTTCAGTGGAGACTCACTCAGATATATCACTTCAGTCAAAGAATTAAATGACTTAGCAGATAGTAAGCCAGTGCCATCTAAACCCATTGATCTATCTAAATCCTCAAGTATACCATGAAAAAAGTCAAGTCATGACGATTTACTATCTTGGAATATAAGAAGCCTCTTGTTTTTTATATTTAAGTCATTTTAAATAATTTATTTTTAAAATGGGATGGTAATAAGCATTATGAGAAATTTTAATAAGAATTTAAGGATAATAAACTCAAGAAGTTTTACTCCATATTTTCCTGGTTTTGAAGGTATACACATATACTCCAAATGAACATTATCTTTTAGATACAACTAAATACTCATCATGAATCTGAAACACATTCCTTTTGTAAATACTAAGCCCAAATTTCAAATACATGTTTAATAAGCTCTAACTTATCATAAATTCTGGTTTTCCTTCCTTCATTGAGATAGCATGCTGAAGTAGGTTGCTAAGGGGACTGGAAATCATGGTATGGAGAGGATGAGGAATAATGAGACTCCCCTACCCTCTCCTCTTCTCCTTCCCCTCCCCTCCCCTTCCCTCCTCTTCCCTTTAAGTATCAACTGGCAGCTTTAGTTACTGAAACTTTTTATTGGCTAACAGTAGCTAGGAGATTGCCTAAGGGATTTTTTCAAAACTTGTGAAAAAGCATATCTCTTGTAGCAATAAAAATATAGTGGAAATGCAAGGTTATAGGTAAGTTAATAGTTTAAGATATCTGCATCTGAGTATTAACTGTCCCATATGAGCACCTCCTTTGACCCTTGCAATATCTGTAGGTAAGGAGGGAAGGGAGGGGAGGGGTGGGTAGGGGAGGGAGTCTCATTATTCCTCATCCACTGCATAGCATGATTTCCAATCCCCTTAACAACCAACCTACTTCAGCATGTTATCTAGTTTGACAATCTTGAAGTACACTACCTAGAAGAGACCCAGTAATCTATGTATGATATAAGCAGTATAGAGTAAAATGCTGTTATCTCTATTTGTAAAACTAATTCTACTAATAACAATGCATTCCTTATCTATGTGGCAATACATTGTTGTTCATATGGATCTAAGTTCAAGTAAAATCCTGTGACACTATTCTCTCCAATTCTTGAACTCCTGACCTCAGGTGATCCACCCACCTCAGCCTCCTAAAGTGCTAGGATTACAGACATGAGCCACCACGCCTGGCCTTATTCTCTCCAATTCTTTGCTCTCAAAGTAAATTTTAATTCATCAAAAAAAAATCTTAGTTCTTTAGTTCAACACATAATTGTATGCTTCATCCAAATCACTGACAAAAATCTTGATTAGGCTGGGCACGGTGGCTCACGCTTGTAATTCCAGCATTTTGGGAGGCAAAGGTTGGCAAATCATGATGTCAGGAAATCGAGACCATCTTGGCCAACACGGTGAAACCCCGTCTCTACTAAAAATACCAAAATTAGCTGAATGTGGCAGTGCAGGCCTGTAATCCTAGCTACTTGGGAGGCTGAGGCAGAAGAATCACTTGAAACTCAGGAAGCAGAGGTTGCAGTGAGTCGAGATCGCACCACTGTACTCCAGCCTGGCGACAAAGCTAGACTCCATCTCAAAAAAAAAAAAAAAAAAAAAAACTTGAAGATTAAAACATAATAGACATGTGACATATTCTTCAAAAGATACAGACTATGAAAAATTTTGTCAAAGGCTGACAACACTTAAACAATGAAGTTCCACGTTATCTCATTATTCATGGGAGTTTTTAATCCTGAAATATAAACACAAATAAATAAAATAAAGAAAGATCACTTACTTGTTCCCTCTATAAGCAGTTCTTGTCCATGGCTACCCAAAAGTGTCCGAGAAAGAAAAGGTGCAAAATCCACAAAAATCTCACGAAGGAGAGGAGCTGCCTTTTCCAAAGCATGTTCAAGCCTCTCTGTAATACTAATGAAAAAACATTAAGTTAATCGAACTATTCAACAGTTTGTATCAATTTTCTAGTTTTGAAAATAAAGATGACTTTCCATAGATATATAAAACAGTGCAAAAAAAAATAAATAAATAAAGAATTACCTAAGGAGACATTACTGCTATGCACAGCAGCCCTTCTGCCAAAAATACTCGTTTTTATCCTGATCTATCTTTCCCCTACAATCCCCAACAACCTGCTTAACAACCACTTCAAGCATCAGTTATTACTAGATGTCTCACCTGGCCAATTAAGACGACTTTGTTTTTAGCCCCATTATAACCTAAATAAACTCTCATCAAGTCTTCAACAAATTTTTCTATTTACCACTAAACCATTAGCACAATGAGTTCAAGAACCATGACTTCATTTTAAAATTCTCACTTACAACATATAGTACAGACTCAACAAGTGCTTATAAATTATATTCCCAATTGTGGTAAAGAAAATCAAGGACTTTCTGGCCACTAAGGCTCCAGTGGTGGAAAATACACTCATTGCATTCCAAATTAAACCCAGAAACTCAATTAAATAAGGTAAGTGACAATAAAAATCTATCTATTTGTATCATTGTGGCTTTGGCTGACTGGCTATCACTTATATCAGCTTTTTTATTTTTTTTGAGACAGAGTCTCACTCTGTCTCCCAGGTTGGAGTACATGGTGCTCTCTCAGCTCACTGCAACCTCTCCCTGCCGGGTTCAAGTGATTCTCCTGCCTCAGCCTCCCAAGTAGCTGGAACTACAGGTGTGTACCACCACAACCAGCTAATTTGTTTTGTATTTTATTAGAGACAGGGTTTCACCATGTTGGCCAGGCTGGTCTTGAACTCCTGACCTGAAGTAATCCACCTTCCTCGGCCTCTTAAAATGCTGGGATTAAAGGCGTGAGCCACTGCACCAGGCCCATATCAGCATTTTATAGAGGAGGAATACTGAATTCCACACTTTCAATTTGCAATCATTTGAAACGTAAGTTCTAAGCTTATGTAAATTTGTGTTATGTAGCAATTATTTTTTACCACAAATCATCACTTGTCATGAAGTGACTTGTACATCAATCATGAAATGACTTATACATCTTAAAATCTTTCAAAATTAAATGAACCTCTAAAATGTTCCCAAGCCTCTATATGTCATATATGTTGGAAGAAAAAAATGAAAAGAAATGAAATAAAGCTAGATAGCTTAAAAAGTCATCAAAGGTATAAATCAGAGTATTCAAATTAGTAGCTTAAATACCTCATATTTGATACCGGATCTTGTGATGCTGAATCAACTGTTGGAACTGAGGGCAATTTTGCATTAGATGATCTACTGCCTATAAAAGAAAAATAACCATCTATAGGAATTTTCTGCTTTTTGATACAAAGATTTAAATAAAAAGAATGTCATTATACCAGTCAATAAAAGCATTATTATGTATTTTTTATGTCTATTACTATTTGGATAACATTAAAATCTAACAACGCCTAAATCCTTTCATATGTAAACCTCAGCTACAAGTTCAGTTATCATGCCAGATCAATCTTTCTATCCAGGGGCTGAAGAAGCAAAAGAAAAGTAAATTTTGACTCCCTAAATAAGGTTCACAATTCCTTCTATTCAACACCAACTGTCAATAAAAAGTTACAAGTAAAAGCATTTTTTTAATATAGCAAAAACACAGAAACAGCTAATTTCCAAATTTAGCTTTAACCCTCCATTACCATGAAAACTATCCTTACTCAATTATCAAATCACTACCAAAGGACTAAATTGCAGCAACAAATGTAACCAGGGTTAGAAGCCTAGACCTCTGAGAATCTGTAATCTTGTGTCACAACTATTATCAGTTATTTTCCCATTATGCCCCAAATACAAAAACACTATGTTTTAAAAAGAATAAGGGCTCTCTTTCCCAAACATTGCTGAATTGTTCAATTCAAAAGTAATTAGAAACAGATCAAGGAAAGCACCTGCATCAGGCTGAAGGTTGTGTTGGCCCAGAGAAAGTTACTGGAGCCAGTGTGAGGAGGGAGGAAAAGGAAAAGAGAGGAAAAGAGAAAACTAAGAATTGTAAAATTCATATCTATATGAATTCATGGTTCCAATAGAGAGATGGAAATAATATGTGAATGAAAGCATATATTTTTATAGACTTTATATACAAACACACACACACAAACACACACATCGCCTCTAGCTCTGTCCACTGAGAGGACATGGAAGCAGCAAAATCTTAACATAGTGTCCAGATATTGGTTTCTAAATACTATACCCCACTAAAAGAAATAAATGGCTGATTCAAGATAAGTGGAAGAAAAGCACAAAATGAGTTTGAAACATCTAATTGTGCTTTGTAGAAAGCAAGGAATGATAGGATATGTCTAAGGAATAATAGGTTATGTCGCAAGGCATGGAAGCCGGCTTGAAGGGGCTCCCACTGATCAAACACCACTGTACTCCATCCTGGGTGAGAGAACAGACTCAGTCTCAAAAACAAAACAAAACAAAAAAAAAAAAAAAAAGAATTGTCATTTTTGGCCAGGTGCAGTGGGTCATGCCTGTAACCCCAACACTTGGGAGACCAAGGCAGAAGGACTGCTTGAGCTCAGGAGCTCAAGATTAGCCTGGGAAACATGGTGAGACCCTGTCTCTACTAAAAATACAAAAATGTGGCCAGGCATGGTGGTGTGTGCCTGTGGTCCCAGCTACTTGGGAAGCTGAGGTGAGAGGATCACTTGAGCCTGGGGGACAGAGGGTACAGTGAGCCAAGATCGCACTACTGCACTCAAGCCTGGGTGACAAAGCAAGACCCTGTCTCAAAATAAAATGCTTCCCACTGCTTCCTACCTCTCCCAGAACTTCCTCAGGCTCACTTCAGTTTATCTAGGCATTCTGATTCAAACTTGCTCTTTTTGGGAAGGCAAATAAAGTTAATTCTGGGTATAGATAAGCATAGTCAGGACCTAATCAGAGGTTTTTTGTATTTAACTGATTAAAAAACAGCAAGGATCTGGGGCAATTTTGACCTTTCCTGAAACATGCTTGGCTTTTAGGCAGTGATCCATAACCCTCAGTTCTGATTACCAGGTCTCAGCCAAATCTAAGGATCCAAAAATCTAGACAATTAGATCCCCCAACAATCTTGGTTCCTTTTGGAAAGCGGGAAATGTAGCAATCTTTCACAATTAACCTCTGGATAATTACTGAGCCCAAGTCTTAGAGTGAGCAAATTCCCAGTACAAGACGAACTTAACTTTTAAAGAAGTTAATCTTTCTTTTCCACAACATACTTCCTTTCGCATTCCCTTGATAATCAAAGCTGACTTTCCTTTATACTATAAGTTTCGTATGGCTACAGTACTGCCTTCCTCTCCATCCTGCTCAACTGAGATCTAACTGTACCTAAAAATTCTAACCAAGTGACTGGTGGTTAGGATGCATAGGATTCGCTAAAAAATGAAGCTAAAGCACACACTCCATCATGTTGACAATTTTTTTCGCTTTTCTTGAGACAGGGTCTAGCTCGTCACCCAGGCTGCAGTGGAGGGATCAGAGCACATTGCAGCCTTGAACTCCTGGGTTTAACCTGTCTTCTTGCCTCAGACTCCCAAGTAGCTGGGAATACAGATGCAGCATGCCACCACATCCAGCTATTTTCAATTTTTTTTTTTAATTTTTTTTTTTTTTTTTTTAGAGACAGGGTCTCATTATGTATGTTGCCCAGGATGATCTCAAACTCTTGGTCTCAAACAATACTTTGGCCTTGGCCTCCCAAATTGCTGGGATTATAGGCGTAAGCCACCATGCCCAGACTACTGCGACAATTTTTAAAAGCATATATATCAACCCAAACTTCATCATAAAAATATTACTATTTTTGTCTTTTCCACAATAAAATTTCAAATTAGAGGGCAAGACCAGGGAAGTTGAAAAAAGTTGTTTTCACCCTTTAGTATCTGGCAGTTATAAGAGTCACGTCCAATCCTAAAATCATATACAACATTCAGTAAAGTACTTCACTGACCCAGTGGCTTTATTACACTCAGTAAACAACACCTGCAGTTTTCTAAGTTCTTGACAACAATATGATCACTGAATCACAGTGGGTCATTGACTTCTATTACCAGTGATCAATTAATATTTTCATTTTTTTAATTGGTGATAATTTTTGAAGACCATTTTTATTGGAATGTATCTGACATTTTCTTTATTAGGATTACTGATGGTTTTTCTTGAGCTTTCCTGAAGCTAATACAAAGGAACTCACAAGGTCCTATTCATTCAAAAGTAGAGATGGAAAAAATAAATCCCTCCCCAAAAAATGTACGTATGAGGCTTTAAGTAAAAGTTGTAAGGCAAAATTAGCCTTTACTGCACTAATTGGTTTATTGGGTTTTGTTGTTTTAAGAGAGGAGGTCTTGCTCTATTGCCCAGGCTAGAGTGTACTGGTGTGATCATAGCTCACTGCAGCCTTGAATTCCTGGACTCGTGATCCTCCTGCCTCAGCCTTCTGAGTAGATGGGACTATAGGCATGTAACACCATGTTCAGATAACTTTTTAATTTCTTGTAGAGATAAGATCTCATTTTGTTGACTAGGCTGGTCTTGAACTGCTGGCTTCAGGTGATCCTTCCACTCCAGCCTCTCAAAGTGCTGGGAATACAGGTGTAAATCACTACACACTGCCCACTGTGCTAAATGATACTAATTTTAATGAGAAATGCATTATTAGAAATGTGAAAAAGAAAAGCAACATTGTTGCTTCTAAATAAAGCAGTAACAAAAATTATTTCCTCACACTACCATAGAAGTAATGCCAATTTTCAATTCTAAAAGAGAATATAGCAGAAACAGATTTTTTACACAGTGTCTTAAGTCGTAAGAAGACACTTTACCAACAAGGATAATAAATTAACCAGCTATAGTTTAAGAAAAAAATCACATGAAAGAATAAATACATCAGTAATTTCACACTAGGTTGTCCTCCATTCCTGCTAGTGAAAAAATGTAATTTCCAAACATATTGCATTTTTTCAACTCAGATAAAAATATAAACTTTCAATAAATTTGTTTTAAATTATCATTAAATATTTCCAGCAAATGATCACAAATACATAAATGCAGAAGCTACCTCCAACATGTGGAATGGTACTCACTTATCTTTTCCTTATCCTAGCACTGATAAACTGGCTCCTTCAAACTGACAGTCTTCCAGACATTCAAAAGAACAAAAAGGAAAATGCAAATATATCATCTGTCTAGCATCTATCTAGGGAGCAGGCAATTGTTTATTCAAGGTCCCTGAGGGTCTAAATAACTAATGTCCCTTGCAATAAAGAATCATTAAAACAAATGCCAATTTTTAATCCCTAAACACTGTAACACTACATTTCTCTCTCTCTCTCTTTTCTGAACCAGTTAATTCAGTAAGGGACAGTCTATACGCCCAGTAAAAACATATTAAATGAATCCTACTGAATGAATATATATAAGCCTACTGGCCTAAATCTTACACAAAGCAAAGATGGTTATAACTCAAATATTTCCCTAATATTAAAAAAAAGTACTAATAAATAAGGTATATGGCTCTCATAAACAGATAATGTCTAATATTCTAGTAAGTGGTAGAATAACAAAATTTTGCAAAGTAGCAAACACCAGGCATATAAATTAATGAACAGTATACTTAGTTCCTTTATTAAGCTACTTTCAATTTTGATTTATTCATTTATGCTTTGCAGTATAGAGAAACAACATATTGGAAAAAAAGTAATGATATTTTAACATACAAGAAGGGATACTGGGTGAAAGTGGAAGGATTATTTGAAGCCAGGATTTCAAGACTTAGTTACTTAGTTCCTTTACTGAGCTAGTTTCAATTTTGATTTATTCATTTATGCTTTGCTGTATACAGAAATAAGTATATTAGAAAAAGTGTAATGACATTTTAACATACAAGAAGGGATACTGGGTAAAGGCGGAAGGATCACTTGAAGCCAGGAGTTCAAGGCTAGTCTGGTCAACAGAGCAAGACTCCTGTCTCCACAAAAATTTAAAAATTAGTCAGGAATGATGGCGCACACCTGTAGTCTGGACACCTGGGAATCTGATGCAGGAGGATCATTTAAGTCCAGGAGTTCAAAGTTGCAGTGAGCTATGCTTGTGCCACTGCACTCCAGCCTAGGCAACGGAGAAAGACACCATCTCAACTTAAAAAAAAAAAAAAGGATACTGTGTTTTCTAGGTAATCAAATCTTTGCTGATGACTATAAAATTTCTAGATTTTGATATATTTACTAAAATCACTTTCTCTTTTGTTTTCTTTGAAAACAAGCATATACAAAGGAAATACATTATCCTCTGATGAATACCTTTTAATACTTATTAAGACACAATTGTTGCTCTTAGATTCGTCCTTTTGGTTGATAAAATGCTGCAGAAGCCAAGGTATTCTATTCAAATTAAAATCTGAAATTTGTGCACCAAAAAAGTTTTGTACGTAAATTGTAGTCTTCATAATGTATATTATTTCAAAATGCAAACACGCAAATCCTCAATTCTTATGGGTTATAAAGTTATTTCAGTGATAACATTTTCATAGAAAAAGCTTTTACCTCATGTTAAGCTAGCAAGTTTTAACTGTTTCTGTGATTAGTATCTATCCCATATTAGTTTCTCTTTAATTGTACCACATGTAAAATGTGTCTCATTTTTCCAAATACCTACAAATGGGAATCTCATTTTTCTAAATACCCAAAATTTCCAAATACCCACAAATGGGAATTTCCTTGAAGATGCCATGTGAATATAAAACAAAATATGAGTGTCATAGCAGAAACTTCATATTTTCTACCAAGTAAATTTTTTACTAACCAATAATCTACTACTGAATTTGAGCAGCTCATCTTTTACTGCTGACTTACTATAAAAGTAAGTTTATAGTACTTTTAAACTTACTGTGGTCATCCGAACGCACAAAGGCTTAGGTCCATAGGGACAAGTATTAACTGTATTTACATATAAAGAAAATAATTCAATACCTAACCAACACTAATACCTAACTTACCCAGATCTTCAGAATAAACTGCCCTGCTTCACATATAATTATAACAACAATTAATCCACATTTTTTTTCTCAAATCCTGGAGGAAGGATTGAACCAGGAGAAAGCAAATAAAATTCAATACTTATTTGTTTGTTTGTTTATTTATTTATTTATTTATTTATTTGCATGCTCCTCGACTTATGATAGAGTCACATAAGTTCAAAATTTCACGTGGTCCCCGTCTTACAATGGTGCACGATTTTTCAACTTTACAGTCCTGCAAAAGCAACAAACATTCAGTAAAAACTGTACCTTGAATTCTGAATTTTGATCTTTTCCCAACTAGTAATATGTGGTATGCTATTTTCTCGTGATGCTGGTAACAGAAGGGACCTCCTGTTCCCAGTCAGCCACAGGGAATTGAGAGTAAACAACCAATACTTACATGTACATGTTGCCAGATGGTTTTGCGCAACTATAGGATAATGTAAGTGTTCTGAGCACATTTAAGATAGGATAGACTTCCCAGCACTTTGGGAGGCCGAGGCAAGTGGATCACGAGGTCAAGAGATCAAGACCATCCTGGTCAACATGGTGAAACCCCGTCTCTACTAAAAATACAAAAAATTAGCTGGGCATGGTGGCGCATGCCTGTAATCCCAGCTACTCAGGAGGCTGAGGCAGGAGAATTGCCTGAACCCAGGAGGAGAAGGTTGCGGTGAGCCGAGATCGCGCCATTGCACTCCAGCCTGGGTAACAAGAGTGAAAACTCCGTCTCAAAAAAAAAAAAGATAGGGTAGACTAAGTTATGCTGTTTGGTAGGTTAGGTGCATTAAGTGCATTTTCAATTTTCAATATTTTCAACATACACTGGTTTATCATGATGTAACCCCATCATAAGTCAAGCACTATATTCTCAGTAAAAAATGCATTTTATACAAAGCCTATTTTATAATAAGGTATTGAATATATCATGTAATTTACTGAATATTGTATTGAAAGTGAAAATCAGAATGGTCATACGGATACTTGAGGTATAGTTTTTACTAAATGTGTATGCTTTCACACCATCATAAAGCCAAAAAAATTGTTAAGTTGAAACTATCTGTATATTTATCTATTTCATTTACTGGCAAATAAATCAAGAGACCCACCAAAAAGAAAACAAAAGTCTATCAGTAAAAAAAAATATTGACAAAGGAGACAGAACTATGGCAGGGGGTGGGGATGGGATGGATTCCATGTGAAAAAGAGTACTTAAGAAGTACAAGGGCAAGTATGGTAGGCAAAGCATGTAAAGTGGGGCTGTAGAAGAGTAAGAAGCAGGACAACTGAAAACACTAGATTAGGTTAGATTTTTCTTATCAAGGCAGTAATGTTCATGGTATCAGTTAACAAATGGAATAGAAGTAATAAATTGAAATGGAGAACCCGTATGACAGAGACAGGAGTGCAGTGAAAGAGGAAGAAGAGGAGCAAGATGTGGAAACCAAAATAAATGGTAAAAAGAAAAACCATCATCACAAAGACGACTTGAAATAACTGAAAAATGAATGAACTACTTTAAAAAGAATGGGGGAGAGGGCGTTGAGGGGAAAAAAGTGTTTAAAATTCTAGCTGTAGATGGAAAAACAATTGGGAACTATTTGAGAAACACCATTACAAATTATACAATGGGCTGGGCGCAGTGGTTCACACCTGTAGTCCCAGCATTTTGAGAGGGTGAAGTAGGCAGATCACCTGAGGTTGGGAGTTCAAGACCAGCCTGACCAACATGGAGAAATCCCGTCCATACTAAAAATACAAAATTAGCTGGTCTGGTGGTACAGGCGTGTAATCCCAGCTACATGGGAGGCTGAGGCAGGAGAATCGCTTGAACCCAGATGGTAGAGGTTGCAGTGAGCTGAGATCGCACCACTGCACTCCAGCCTGGGCAACAAGAGCGAAACTCCACCTCAATAAAAGAAAAGAAAAATAAGATACGTTATGAGCTGGATCAATGGTACAGGGTTTTGTAGACTTTGCCAATAAATACAACAGTCTTCAAGATAGCAAATTATTTTGTAATTCTGTATACAGTTTTACAAAGTGAATATTGTAAATTACAATGAATTTACTGGAAAAAAAAATACAATGGCTTCAGAAAGAAACGTATAATACTGTTATATGTGAGATATTACCCAAATGTCTCAGCTTTCCATTTCTTATCTCTTCTGAAAACTCCATGACTTAAATTTTAGCAAACAGACTTAAAAGCAATCAAAGGGCCCTATTTACTCTGTTCCCTAAACTGAAACTAGAGGGCAGTATGAGAAAATATTTTACTCAGTGTACTTTGAATTTCTGAAATTACCACATTTGTTTTGGAATGTTACTGAAAATTCACTATAACTGAATTTAAAAGATGGCATGTAAATCATTTCATAGATATTAATAACTATTGCATTTTTCACAAAAGGGACTACTCTAGAAAAACCACAGTTGAATCTTTTTTTTTCCCAAGGGCTTTGGATGGGGTTGGAGAAGCAGAAATGTGCATACCAAGCCCCAAATGAATTACCAAATTATTTCTTCTTCAAAGGGGGAAAAAAAAAAAAAAACAGACATCAGAGTATAATGGAACAATAAAGATTAAAAATTTGTTACAGTTTCATGCCTGGTTGCCTCTGTAATTCTCACTAGACCAAGGGAAACTAGCAAGGAAGAGAATGAGTGGGTACTTAAGAATTCTCTGTACTTTTAACTCAATTTTCCTGTAAACCTAAAACTGATCTAAAAAATAAAGTCTATTAATGTTTTTAAAAAATTATGAAATAAAAAGCAAGGCAGACAAAACTCTGCTGCCATTGCTGCTTTTGGTTTCAAAGTAGAAAAAAAAAGTCTAATCACTATTTTTCCTAAGAATAAAAATAATACAAGACTATTAATGAAATTTTAGAAATACCACCTAAAGTAAATTTCGAAAATCAAAACTGCCAGTAGCTCAACTTCATGGAGACCCACATAACTTCACAAAATACTTTCTTGCTTTTACCATGTAAATAAGGTGTATAAGTCACTTGGTTGTAATTATATGATACGTAAAGAATTACATATAACTTTCTTTTACTTAACCTACTGTGAACATTTTCTGTTATCACTAAACACTATAAAATTTGTAAAAAAAAAAAAAAAAATAATAATAATAAACACATTTAAAATTTCAGAAAAATATATTTTTGTTAACACAAATACATATTTTAAAAAGAGAAGACAAAAGAAATAAACGTAGTCTTTGTTTCTATGATACACGGTTACATAGTACACAGCAAGGAAAAAAGATCGCAGCTACTGGCCAGTAGCAATATCAAGCTTGGAACAAAACTCTAAAGGTGGAACAGCAGAACAGAAGGCAAACCCTTGCCTGAGATATCCCTAATTTGCCAAATAAAGGTGAAACAGCAGAATAAAAGGCAAACACTTGGCTGAGATATCCCAAATAAATAACATTATTTCTGATCTCAATATAATCCACCAGGCCATTCCTTCAAAATTCCTTTATTTTTCACCAATCTCAATCTAGAATCATAAGATAAGTGTTTTTGGGGGTTACAATATCTTGTTATTAACTTTATGAAACAGCACAACATCCAGAAGAAAACCACTGATACAGTAACATCCCCTTTGTTATACCTGGTCATTTTAATACTACACATTCTTCAAGTTTACCCATATCACCACTAAGGTTCCCATCAACGTATAAGATCTTGCATCCACATGATTTTATACACAGAAAATTTCTTTTATCCATATATATGCTTTTATACATGGAAAGAATATGGAAGGAGAGATGGATAAAAATAAAATTGCCATAGGAGGAACTGAACCAGTATGACCACTGTTAGAATGATGCTACATTTCAGAGCAGCACTACTTTCCAAGTCTCTAATTCAGAAAAATAAGCAAAAAAAAAAAAGAAACCAAAGTAATGGATTCTATATAAATATCTGACAACCAGTAACCATATTAAAAGATTACGTGTCAACAAAACTTTCTATTTTAAGCCATTATCTATATATATCTTCTTAAGTACAGGGAAAAAAGTATTTTCATAAATCTATCATTCGTGCATGCGCTCATCACCCAACCAGCAGCATCTAATCTACCACACACTACTAGGTTTGAATGGAGAAAATACTGAAACCCTTGACTTAATTTCTTTTAATTTTACTCAAATTTATTCAGAAAAGTAATAAACAACAATATAAAAGCACAATGGTTTCCAATGTGCCTCTACAATTTAAGTTAATCAAAAATCCTAAGCTTTGCTAAAATAAGATCTAAACACATTTTTGTTGAAATCACTGATAACTAACTCACCTGGTGATTCTCCTCCCACATCTGAGGCTTGAGCTGAATCTACTGAGGAAACCACACTGACAGCATTGGTAGATATGCTTGTAGTAAGTGTGCAAGGTGAGACTGCTGACTTTTTTGTTGCAACAATAACACTCCTGTAATAAAAAAAGTAAACAGATTGAAAGATACAAACTGATCTCTTCAATTAATTACATGAATTTCAAAACAGAAACTAGGTAGCTAACTTATTTTTCTTAATTTTCTTTCTTGCTTCTATTTGATGTATAATTTTCACCCAACATGAAATCTCTTCAACACTATCCTTATTTATCTGCATTTCACTTTTTTTTTAGAACCAAGAAAAGGTTCTATGGAAATATAACAATCCATTTTAACATTTAAACTTATATTTACCACAAAGTATTTTTAAAGTTTAGGGTCATCTTTAATTATCTAACAAATTAAATATAGCCAAAAGTATTAAAGCAGAAAATTCAGTGTTTCCACTAGAAATGTAAAACACTGCTAATCTGAAATAATAAAACCTTAGAAATCTTGTAAGACTTAAAAAAGCAGATATAAACAATTTGCTAACATGTATACAACTCAGTTTTTCATTTTTAAACCCCAAAGACTATATATTTTGATAATAGTATGTAAAAAAGTAATGCATAAGAATAAAAACCAGATGCAAAAATATCAAATAATCAAAATTCTTTATCTTGTATATTATTCAAACACAGGTATTTATGATACACCAATTTCAATTAAAGTATAATACTTTACACCAAATAGCAACTAAAAGACCTTGTTAGGCATAACTTAAAAGGCATTTTTAATTGAAGTTGGCTCCATAAACATGCAAAAAACCAGTTAATGAGGTAAAGAGGACAGCTGATATATAACACACTCCCACAGCAGTGCTTACTTTTAATTACCTGGTGTTAACCATAAGCCTAAAGTCTTCAACATTCAATTTATTTAATCACATCTTTTGTTGACAGTACTATAACTACAAGCTGCAAGTATTCCTTTAATAGCTTTAAAGTATTCAGTTTCTAAACAAAGTTATTTAGGTACTTGATCCCAATATTCGGAAGTGAAAATTATGTAATTCCAATATCTCACTAATGCATTTTTGTAGTTATTTTTAAAAACACACACACAAAGCAAAATAGGTTTCGTTTTACTTCAGTGCCTATCATGTAAGGGCAAACACTGTTGCCAATTAAATCAAGTTCTCCTGTGCTAGGCAAGGCTTATTCAATGTACTTGGGGGTAGCTGGTGTCACATCATTATAAGGGTGACTGCCAATGTTAACTATACACTAAAAAATAGAAGCAACAGCCACCTGAGCCCCCAATCCAAAATGGTGTGCTTAAATCATGGCAGCTTATATCAGATGAAGATTATTGACTTAATGGGGAGTAGATATGACCTCTGTATGTGTGTTTGTGTGTGTGTTCACGCAAACGTGTGTGTATACATGTGTATTAGTGGTACCTTCAAAAACAAAACAAAAGATAATTTGTGTATTTCCTGCTGGTGGGAGAAATTTAAAACCCATTGCTTAAGAAAATCACTGTCTTCTAGCAATGATTTTGCAGGGGAGGGAGAAGTATGAAGAATTTACTTTCATATTTTTTCACAAAAGAAAGAACCAAAAAGATCTAGTTTACTCATAAAGTAAGGACTGAATGGAGCAATAGAAAAGAATACTTTAAAAAGTGAAATTGCTTTATCTATAATCAAAATGTAAGATATATAACTATCTATGCTATAACTCAACAATTCTACTTCTAGGCATTTCCTCAAGAAAACTTATGTACACAAAATATGAATACAATAATGTTCATACAGCCTTTATTTATAATAGGCAAAAACTGGAAGTAACCCAAATGTCCTTTATGAAGATACAGAAAATTTTTTAATGGGGCTATGCTTGTAGAATGGAATATTATTCAGCAATAAAAGGTAACAAACTACTGACAAAAAACATGGATGAATCTCAAAAGCATTATGTCAAATGAAGCCTTATACTGTGTGAGTTTTTGTTTGTTTGTTTGGTTGGTTGGTTGGTTTTGTTTTGTTTTTTTAACCTGAATGTCTAGAACAGGCAAAACTCATTTATGGTAGAGAAGAATCAGAATAATTGCCTTTGGGGGATAGGAAGAGGGATTGGCTGGGAAAGAGAACTTTCAAAGCCAATGATATTATGATGGGAACTTGGGATTAAGCAACTGTATAAATTTGTCAAAACTCATCAAATGGTACACTTAAGACTATGTCTTTCATTGTATGTAAAATTTAGCTCAAAAAAAAAAAAAACTGTATTAATCTCCAATTAGAGAGCTGCATGCTGGCTGAAATATTTAAGAGTGAAGTGAACTGATGTCTACAACTTTGAAGTACATTACAAAAATAAGATTGATGGATACATGGTAAAGCAAACGGAGCTAATAGCTTATTGTTGAATCTCAGTGATGGGTCTACAGGTGTTCACAGTACAATTCTTTCAACTTCTCTGTATGTCTGAACATTTTCATAATAAAACACTAGAAAACTGGTAACAGGAACAGAATTTACTACAGCTGTTCCAAATATGCACAATCTCTATTTACTCAAGATTGCATGGCTAAACATAACAAAAGAACTCAACTTCATTTCTAATCCTTTAGCCTATTGCTGTTAATGTTTCAGTCACTAATAAGGTCTTATTCTTTTATTCAGTTCAGCAAATATTTATTGTCCAAGATGTTTCACCTATTGTCAGAAATGATAGAAGTATGGCTTTCTATATGAATTTACATTTTACATATTCCTCACACACTTCTTCAACATGCTCTGATGGTTGCTAAGCGTATTGTGTTATTTCACAACTCCAACGCTTTGTACATATGCCTCCTCTGCAAGATGTCTTGTTCTTAATCCTGCCTGCCTGCTAGGTAATATAAAATTATAAATTGTAATAGCAGGTAAGATAAATGAAGCATTGACAATATGCCAAGAATTATTATTCAATTCTCAAAGTAATCCTAAAGTACAAATTAATTCAATTTTTAGAAATTTTAAATATAAACCTCAGAAAGGTGAAGTAATAACCAAAGTAAACGGCAGAACTACCAAGCAAATCTAGATTTATCTAACACTAGATCCTCAAATTTGACGTTTCCTCATGTTGACCTTTCTTAAAAGTTTTGAGATATAATTTACATATCATACAATTCACTAAAAGTATACAATTAAGAGATTTTTAGTATGTTCACAAAGTTCTACAATTATCACCACAATCATATTAACATCTAAACATAATTTTAGAATCGTCTATAAGCAACAGTAATAAAGATCACTAACATACGAAATTATATATATATATTACCATAAAATTACAAAAATATATCTGATCATAAATTTTTAAAAGCTGCATTCTTTCACATAGCTATATAATTAGTATGTAAGAGAAGTAAAATTAATCAATTTCCAAATTCGCCTATTGATTCAAATCAATTCTAAGGAATTAACATAATACTGCTTCAGTTTAAGGCTACACAAAAACAAAGAAAAACCAAAGTTACAATGATCCAATTAAAAGGATATTAAGCAGTAGGTAGATTTTGAAATATTTTCATTGTCTTTGCCAATCATTGTCATTATTATTATAAAGTTTCAGCATAAAAGACTAAAATCTTCAACAGAGGAGATCTTTAGCTTACCGGGTTTATCTTGTTAAACATAAATCTAAATTAACATGTTCTACAGTTTACAAAAATAATCTAGGACTTTAAAGAGCTTACATGGCAGGCAATGTGCTAGGGATATTTCTGCCAGCTTTCTCAGGCTACAGCTTAAGTTTCTTTTTAAGAAACAAATTAAAATCTTTTTTAATGTTTTAGAACAATTATTTGAATTTTTTGTATCTACATCAATTTTAGCAGAAAATGCTCAGACTTTTTAGCATAAGGAATTTGAATGATAGACAATTATGCAAGCTTGTTTCCCAGACTGTAAATTATAAACCCAAATATTAAAGATAAAAATTGTTATCATTTTTTTCTTTATAAACTCATTATGAATACTTAATATTTGTGGGGCACCATGCTTAAGATCATACACAAATCATCACATTTTTATTTATGACAATCCTTGAGGTTAGCAATACATATTATTATGCTAATTTTATGAATGAGAAAGTAGTAATTTTCCTAAACTCTCACACAGAACAAATGAAAATACTGTTGATCGGTTTTTTCGTGCTTTCTCCCCCTGAACAAGAAGTACTTGTTTCAAAGTTTCTTTTAATTTATTGACAATAGGCAAATAGCAACAATGCCTTCCAGATCAATAAAGTTGAGAAGTTCCATTTCCGTATTTATCAGTTTCAAATATCACAATCCCTCAAATAAATGCTATTTTATTTAACAAGCAAATAGTTCACTAAAGGAAAAAAGAGCCTTTCAGCCTACCACTTTAGTCCTTAAGGATTCAGTTGAAAAGCCAGACCAGTACTTGAACTTTATCAAGATAAATCCCTGGCATTCACTAATCATCAGAGAGGATCTTCAAATTAGATAACAGCAAGAATTTTGGCATGGGAATGAACACAAACACCTTTGCGTTCACAAAGGCCCACAACCTGGCAGGCTTTCAGCAAGGTTTTATTCATGTAGCTGTTACTCTAAACTTTCCAGCTATTCCTTGGAAGCTGATAATTCTTAAGATATGAGGAGAGTTGTGATTTCTGACATAGCATTCCTGAGATAAATACATGATCAGAGGGATGCTTTGAAATTCCCAAAGATATTCCACTAGCCCATGGCAGCATGAAAGTTTTTCAAAAGGTGTCTCTAGCTAAGAAAAAAAAACGGGGGCAGGGGGGACGGTGTAAAAAACAGAGCAGTTTCCTTGCCATGAGAGACTGTTAAATGCATACCAGACATGTTAAATTCCACAGAACCTCCTGGAAAATGCTACCATCAAAATTATCTGTTGCTTTCTATTTCAATAAACCCCTTAAAATGTACTACCTAAGCATGATTTCCTAAATATGTTCATGATCTGTTCACTTGAAGACATCAGTAAGGCACAAATTTAATTTCTACACTATTTAAAAAAGAAATAAATGCTAAAATATATAAAATTTTTATCATTAGTAAA